CCCCCAAACTACACAAAAGAATTTCAACTCGCATTAAAATTTAAAAAGCTGTATTTACAAAACTCTCTTGAGGTAAGGCACCACGAGGAAGCAAAAGAATGCACTTGATCCCCAATGTTCTCACTAGACGTTTCCTGGCCTTTGAAAATCCTCTGATTTCTTTCAAACCAAATCCTCTAAAGGGTAGCAACACTGCACATTGCCAAATGATGAGCACTTTTCTTTTGAATGGGGAGCCAACAATAAGCTGAACCAAAGCATCCTTGCAATTTCCAGAGAAGCACCACCTTAGACTGAACTCTTTGAACAGCTTATTAAGCTGAATCAAGGTCTTCTAGAAGTTCAATAAGTGATTACTTCACACAGCTTCTCATTTTTTGTTGATCAATTAAATTGTAATATATAATTCCTATTTATCCATTGCTACAGTTTCACTTCTCTCATATCCAACTGGAGAAGTTTTTTGTAACTTCCTTGGATTGGGATTCCCCCACTTTTGTAATTTCATGTTATCAATGAAATTGTTTTTTAAGGCAAAAAAAAAAAAAAAAAATCAAAGTAGAAGGCGAAGTCTGGCTTCAAGCAATAATATTGAGGAAGGATATAAGTTTTTTAATTTTACGAGCTTCTACCCCAACGTCCATTTCGTTGATGTGGTTCAAGAAGCCTATCTCAAACATTTCGTTCTCTATGGGGTGTGCATATATGTTTATTTATTTTGACTAAGTTTTGTATCTGATAAAGTTGAAGAACTGGCCACTCATCTGTTTGCTCAATGCTTTGGGGTTTCGACCTCTACTTTCATTCTATAATGACAACTGAAATTTAAAACTACATCGGCAATGTTTGTTTACATGTAATGTGGGATCCTGCATTTTACTGCTGCTTTGATATTTTCTTGGTGCAGCTAATGGAAAAAGTGATTCCTGTAGTGGAAAAGCGACGACCACCACGAGTCATTCGACGAGTTCATTCGATGACGTGGTGAAACTATTCATCATCGCTGAGGTGTTCGAATGATAACAAACGCTGTAATGGCCATAGTATTAACGTTACCAAAAACAAATTCTTTGCTGCTGATCGTTGAGGAGCATATGGGGTGTTCTGCGAGAAAAATCGCAGCTATCATAATCCTTTTATCAAAGAACAGATCGAAGGAGACAGACTACAAGGAGATACATGAAAGAAGAAGATTGACAGGTATTAAAAGTAGAGCAAATAAACTAGAACTTGGGGTGCTCAACTGGCTGTGTCTCACAATTTTTGATGCATGAGAAAGTAAATAGAGGAAGTTGAGTAGCATTTTCATGCCATGTTGGATAGTGGAAATCTAACAACATTGACAAAACTAGTCCTTGTTTTGTTACAATACTTGCTAGGATAGTGTGGTGGTGTTAGAGGGGTATATATAATTTATTATTTTATTTTTCCTTGAAGTTCTCGCCCTGCTCCCCCCAAAGCATATTAATACTTCATTTTGATCGGAGAACATATAAGAATCTGTTTAATGGATGAAACAGAAGATTGACTCGCTAATATCTGACCCTAGAAAACCAACTTGAATATAGTTCAATTGGTTGAGGCATACCTTCTCCTATTAGATTTCTAGATTTACGAAGAAGAACCAAGATTTCATTTATGTAGTTGTATTTTTTTTTCAAACATTTTTGACACAAGTTCCAATGTAGAACTTGATTTTTTCCAACGCAAGAGTAACACCATGGGGTTTTAGGGAAGCCTTTTCTAGGTCAAAGCAAGTCTCCTACTTGAGCCTTGAGCTGAGTTGCTTTTCCACACACCAAAATTACAATGCACTATTCTATATTCCCTCCTTATTTCTTGTCCTGTCGTAATAAAATTGCATTCTCTTGATTTTCATAGGTGTGTAGATATAACACTAAGATTAATATTTTTCAATTGTTTACGTTAAGTTTAAGTTTTTGATAGATAGGAGAGAGGTAGAGACAGGTGGGAATTTTTTCTTTCTTTTCAAAAAAATAATCGCCCGTAAAAAACTTAATACGTCGTTAGGACGTATAGTCCTTTATTGAAAACATTTGCAGTTTTAAAAAAGATTAGTCAATGTGCATGAAAATAGGTTCGGATACTCACAAATATCAAAAAACAAAATTATTTTTTGTTAAATTATAAAAAAAAAGTTACAGTCATCTGAACTTTTAATTTTATGTTAATATCTGTTAAAAAAAAATTGTGGTTAATAGGTTGATATCATTAACTACGTTAATTCAATTTTTATAATTCTTTTTAAAGTATATCGACTAAATTGATATAATAACAAAACCTCGCGAATACATTAGAAACTTTTTGAAGTATATTTTATGGAATAAACCCTGTAATTTAACCCTTTCCAAATACCAAATGAATTAATTAATTAAATTCCATCTTTTGAGGCTAATTCACTTTCTTCATTTGTCACCATTGCATTCTGCTTTGTCAGGAAATAACAAAAGGGACAGAATATACCTTCACTTGATAGCAACTTCTCATAAAATTAAGATTTCATTTTCACTAAAAACACATTTGTATTGCTATTTTTTTTTTTTTAAAAGCACATTTGATTCTTGTAATTAAAAACAACAATTTAGTCTCTAAACTTCAGTTTGTAATGATTTAGTCCATGTACTTTTTCTAAAGTAACAATTTAGTTCATGAACTTTTAATTTGTAACGATTTAGTCCCTATAGTTTAAAATTTGTAACATAAAATTTTTTATTAAAATTAAGTATCAAATTTATCGTATAACAATTTAATCTTTCTAATTCGTAAACATATTTGGTCCCTCTTTAATTTATTAATCTATACCTACAAGAAACTTAACAAAAAAAATCACGATAAAGACTAAATCGTTATCAATTTTAAATTACAGTGACTAAATTGTTATATATTAAAGTTCAATGACTAAATTGTTACTAATTTGAAAATATAGGGACTAAATCATTACAAACGAAAGTTCATGGGCTAAGTTATTACTTTAACAAAAGTACATGAACTACAAATGTTTTTAACTTTTTTTTTCCTTTTTTTTTGGATATTTCAAGGGTAGCTTTTAATCGATTAAAAATAATTTCCATAGTTCAAAAATCATATAAAAATACACTAACAAGTAGAAATCTCTATTTTAACCATTAGAAAAAAAAATTGATATGAAAAACAAACCATTTATTGGGTAAATTTTCCAACAAGCATGCGCATTACACACAGATACTTTCTCTTTTTAGTATCAGATAGGGCCAAAAACTCACTAAGAACAAGAAAGGCACAGTAATTTTTTTAAGCTATTTTTATTTACACCAAATGATGAATAATAATTAATACATACATTTGAGTTCAACATTCAATTTAATAGACTTCAAAATGTAAAAAATTAAATATTAGAAGTAAAAAAATTCAAGCTTTCCTCTGTTTTATACCACATATGACAGTGATTCATCTTCTTTTGAAAGTTCTCCGAAAGGGTCAACTTCATGGGACTTTTCTGTTCCCAAATATTAAAATAATGTAAAAGAAAAATAATTACCCAAAAATGCATCAAAGTAAGAGCATCATGACCTTGGGTAAAGCAAGGATTAGATAATCTAGAAAAAGAAGATAAAGCAAACATTATATTATATTATATCATATGGTTTGCAAAGAAAAAGAAAGACACTGCAGAATGATAATTACTCACTCAAGTAATCATTTTAGAATAATAATCCCCATCATCACTCCTGGGAGCCAACCCAAAAATAAAACTATTTTATTTAATGCACTATATTTATTTTGATTTATTCTATATATTTTCAAATTTTATTCATCTCGGTTAATGTTCTTTCAAAACGCTTGGTTTGATCTCTTATTCTTCAAAACTAATCATTTTAATCTCTATATAAAAATTTTATACACTATGAAATTCTTAAGTTAAGATTATATTTCAAAAAATTTATTCACTATAACATCGTATGACAATGGTACGAAAAGAGATGAAATAAAATAACAAAGTATTGTGATTAAAATTAACGAGATTAAGATAGAAAAAAATAGAGAGTAATGGTGATTTTAAAACAGTATTTTATATATATATACATCCTATGTTCCTCATAACTAATTCCTCCCTTTTTCTTGAAATTTCTACGGTTGTTTTTCCACAAACCAAAATCATTACAACTTTTACTGTATAAAAAAAAAAAGAAAAACAGAAATAAAGTGCGCATTCTTCAAAATTTTGTCTGTCATCCATTGAAGCTTTTTGGCATGGCAGCCGCAACAGTTGTGTCATTTCAAGTTCAACACCTTTCTCTCTCTCTCTCGCTCTGTTTTCAGAACTCTCTCTTCTTTCTTGAGAAACCCAGAGGAGAAAAGACTGTGATTTCATTTCATCTTCAAAAATAAATTTAAAATTTTGACAGCAGCATTGATTATGATGAAGATCCACTTAACAATGCCCATGTTCTTGTGTTTTTTGGCACTGTTGTTTCAGCTGTGTTGCTCCTCCACCACCATTGTTGTTGATGGAGTTTCAGAATGGAAGAATCCCTCTGTTCATACTGGAGATTCCATCAGTAAGTAGAGAAAAGAAAACAAAAACTTCTTCTCTTGTTCTTTTTGAAACTCCTTTTAACCTTTTTTGCCTTCTTGTTCTTGATCTTTTCAGTTTTCAAGCACAAGTTTCACTATTCTCTCTTCATTTTCCACGACCAAAGGGCTTTCAATCTCTGCAATTTCACTCATGCCACACTCCTCAGCAAACCCAATTCCACCACATTCACGGTATATCTCTCTCGAAAATACCACTTCCAGTGACTAACGCTCTCGTTGTCAATTAATTTTGAGATAAATTTCGTGTGCATATTAATTTAGTATTAGAATCTAACAAGCTCAAACGAGCATTAAGATACATGTAGCGGTTGTTTTTTAGATGGTACCCATAATATTGGTACTCTCACTTGAAAATCCCACTCTGCATAATCTTGTGCTCAATTGGTTTTAAGATAAAACTCAGTTAAACCAATGCCTGACAAGATTCGAATAAGGATTGGTTTTGAGATGTAACCATGATGTTGATACTCTCTCTGTCTCTCCCAACTGAACTTGAATTGGGTGTTCAAATAATGGCACATTTTGCTGTTTTAAGAGGTGGGGTTAACGAAATTAGTGGAAATTTTTGCTTCTTCATCCAAATTCCTTTCTGGGTTTTGAGTTTCTCCTTGTATTAAGTGGTGGGGTCAACGAAATCAGTGGAAAATTTTCATCTTTCTGCAAATTTCTATCTGGATTTTGAGTTTCTGATCGGTTTCGTGTGCAGTGGCATCCATCTCGGCCTGGTATTTTCTTCTTCTCCTTCAGCAATGGCTCCAAGAACTCTTGCAATGGCTCTCAGAAGCTTGCCGTGAAGGTCTCTGCTTCACCACCACCTCAAAGTTTTCACCTTTCTCCACAGCATCCTCCAATGGCGGCTCCGGCGCCGGTTTCCGGCGGAGTTCTGCCGTCCTCTCCGGAGTACCCTTGGCCGTTCCGCCCCCGGCAGGCTGCGCCGCCGAGTCTGCCGCCGAGTGCAAGTTCTCCGTTGACGGTGCCGTCGCTGGTGCCGGAGAAGGGAGGAGGTTTGCCGTTTATCAACAGTAATCCGGCGGTTCCTCTGCCCACCGGCGAAGTGGACTCTGCCACTATACGGCCTTTACCAACTTCTGACCATGGATCACACAGGGTACCAATCTCTCTCTCTCTTACTCACTTTTTCTCTCTCTAAAATGGCTATTTTAGTCTTATTTTTTTAATGTCCAAATTTAGTCTCATTGTTATTTTTCAAGTCAATTCATTGAAAAAAAAGGAACAAATTTTGAAAATGAAAATGTTTAAAACATTATAGAGGGAAGGCGTATAAAGACTATTTAAAAATACACTTATAAAATTAAAAAATATTTAGGTATTTATTAGTCTATCACCAGTAAATTTTAAGAAATGAGGGAAAGAAATGCAAGAAAAGAGATTTTTTTTTTCCAAAAAATTAAAAACCTTTAAATATTTCTTATTGGTGATCAGCACAAAGATAGAGATGGACCAGCAAAAGTACACGGTCCAATGGCCAAGAAAGGCCAAAACAAGATTTTAACCTAACTGATTTGTAAGGGTAAAAGTAAAAGAAAAAAAAAGTGAAAAGTGAAAAGTGAAAAGTGAGTGTTTTAAGATGGTTTATTGATGGACAAAATATGAGTGGCGTTTGTGTTGGGCATTATGAGGAACTTTTTTTAGCATTGAAATTTTGATGAGAGAGAGAGAGAGAGAGAGAGAGAGAGAGAGAGAATGGAGATTGGGAATTTGTTGCTAATGTTTGGATGCAAAATTTGCAGGTGATGATGAGCTCTCATGCTCTAAAATTGGCTCTAATTTCACTGCTCTTTCTGTTCCTCTAATTTCTAATTTCTAATTTCTTAGGTTAGGATCATAGGATGCAGAAATATGTGATTTTTGGGCTTCCAAATGTTTGTGTAAAAAAAAAAAAAGTATGATTGATATTTGATGATGAGATACAATCTATGCATTTGGATGTTCTAATCTAACTTTGGATCTTTATTTATTTTCTTCTTTTCCTATTCTCAACATTCAAATTCCACCATTTCTTTACTTTAAAAACTGCTTTTTCTCTCACTAAGATAATATTTTATTTTTTAAAAGTTGCATTATGATGTTTTGTTGGCCATATTAATGTCTGTGAGCCTTTTATTAACTTCTGGTTTTTCTTTGGATTAATAGTTTATCGTCCAACTTTTTAGATGTCGTAAGTTTGAATCTTCACCCTACATGTTATTAAAATATATATATATATTTTTAGGAAAGTTAATAATCAGATATTTTTAACAAATCTACCAGGCCTAAAAGTGGCCAAGTTGGGCTAATTTTTGTGTTGATGGCCTTTTCAAAATTATTACTTTAATTAGCAAAGCTAACATTATTTTTACCACATAGTTAAAGTTCAAAATAAAATTTAATGAAATGAACTTTGGAGTTAATTAGTTAATAACTCTAGTTTAAGTGAAAAGAAATAAAGTTGTAATTTGATGTATTAGCTAAAACTCTTTTTTTTATTTATTTATGAGTACACTAAGACTCCTTTTAACTTTCCTTCAGTTAGTACATTGTTTTTGTATAAGATGAGTTTTTTGAAATCACATTTTTTTAAGTATACTAATTTTTTATTATTTAAGTTAATGACAAATTATTTACAAATTTATGTACTCAATTACTCATGAAAATAAATCAAAATAAAATCATTGGGCTATACTAACTTCAATCATTTTTCTGAATATCTTAATTTGTAAAAATGCCCATTCACCTCCTAGGATTAACTCTCCATTATAGCTTATCCAAGGGCCATGCTATTTGCAATATGGCCAATCTTCATGAAACTATTTTCTGGTACAATACAATTTAAGATACTTTTTTTTTTTTTTGAAACCGAAGATACGAAAACAGAGTAACTCAGATCGAACTAGATCTTGAATCCAGAAGGGAAAAGAAAGTCTCCCACAATTCAACGATTTTCAGTCGCTTTGCTCGCAAGATTATAAGCATAAGAAAAGGGATAGAACTGAAGTTTATGGGAGGAAACTTATTATAAAGTTAAATTACTAATAACGAGCAGCCTTGCAATATCTTATGGATGCAAGTCTGCCAAGTGATTCGATCTTATCGTTCTTCATTATTTACATATGGCCATTTCTTGCTAGGTGCTCGTCTTAGATTGGCGTTTGGTTTAATAATTGGCTTCGGGATTATTGGCGAGAACTTATTGTGGGGGTCACCTTACCAAAAGGCTCCAACCATAGCGATGAATACAACATTCAATAAATTTCGGGTCTAACAATCTTTCAAGATTCTGAATGAATGGTCATATTTGCAAACAGAAAATCATACGTGTCTAACCTTGCTGAAAGATATTGATTTTGGGTGGGTGCTCTGCTTTTCTTTATCATGAAAAGAATATCGTGAACTAATGGTTAACAGAAAAGAGAGGGTTAACATCAAAGATGATGATGAAGAATGGGACCCTGTCCCATGATTTGTAGGGCCATGGCCAATTCATCATCTGTGGAGAGAATAGTAAGGGCAGCCCTAAAGGATCGAATCAAGGAGGACAAAGAAGAAACCAGAATTCCCAAGATGTCAAACTCTAGAAAATGAGGGAGCTCAGTGGGATTCGATAGCAATATCGACTTTATCAAAAGGAATCGTCGAGAAAGACCAGATATACCACAACAGAACTCGGATGAAGGTTAAGGAGGAACCTCAGTGCAATTCGATAAAATGTCAAGTTTCTCGAAAGGGAAACATAGTGTGGGTGTGGGGGAAACAAAGGCAGAGGCAGAAACACAAAGCATCTGAATGGGAAGGGAGTTTTGGGAAATTGAAGAGAGAATGAAGCAGAGATATTAATCCAAGAGGGTTGAGCTTAAACAAAACAGAGAAGCATCATAACTAAAGCAAGCAAAGAACTAACCAACTATAGGAGTTTCAGCCCCTCATGATTCCAACAGAAAAACATGAATTTCAACCACCAAACCATAGATAGCGCCTTACCTCGATCCTAGATGACAAACAAAACACCCGAAAGCTCCACGTTTTGCCTCGATGCAGCGTATGGAGTGTCCTCATGGCTGGCACTGTGAAAAAATTGTTTTGGAGGAAGGAGACAGTCAAACTCGGTGGGGATGTCACTCGAGAATAAAGTCAAAATATGTTGGTTTAGATAATTTTTCCAAGTAAAAAATTTAGACTTTGACCAAAAGTGTGAGAAGAAGAAATCTTACCATTATGCTGACTAAGCTGTCAACTTCTTCCGAATCTTTCCTTGGAGGGTCAGCATCCCACTAATGTCGCTGATCCTGCGGAAGACCAGATCAAGATCAGATCTCTGTAATAAAATAATAAGAAGACCAAAGCTTCATCCAAGACCTTAAATTATGTCAGTAACAATTTTCCATGCTCACTGACAAGAAACATGACTTGACACCTCAAAGAGTTGAACCTGGACCACCATATCCTTCATCATAGCCACAGACCAGAGTGGTGCAGGATAGATTCTCCCATTCTACGAAAGAAGTTCAAACAAACAAAAACACATCCATTCATCTGGTCAGAAACCAAAAGAAAAAAAGACAATACGGGTTTGTTAGATATGCAGTTAAAATCACTATTTTCAACTTTAGAATTTTACAGGAAGAACCATTACAATTGTTCTAAAAAAGGGACTACTCATACTGAACAAAAACTAAAGAAGACAACTTTCAAAAAGTAATTACCCAATTTGTTTTGCTGATGTTTGTGTCTCTTATGTTCTTGAAAACAGCCATTGGTAACCCTTCATTCCATCTGGTACGGTATTTCAACAGTGAAGATGGGGAAGTCGAACCAAGGCTTGAAACTTCAGCTTCCGAAGTGATTGCATCATGATTTCCCAAGAATGTATGTTTATTTGAGAAAGGGAAGTGAGGAGTTTCCTATACTATCTCACAAAATAAGTAAGAGATGACAATTATAATAGGTAGAAACAGGATTCGTAGCTTCACAAGATCTAGAAGACAGAACACTGAGAAAACACAAATCTACAATCGAAAGAAATAGATGAAACTTTTGGTAGTAATGTTGTCTTTTGCAGCAGAATTCGTATATAATAACATGGACCAAAAGACAATTGTGTAACAATAAACAATACAATGACTGCATGTCAGTCATGGACTGATAAATATGGCATTGCGAAACAAATATGACAGAACCAACACCGCCAGATGGAGAAGATCCATGCAAATGTTTCAAATCCAAATTTCTTTACACAATATACGCTTGAGTAAATAAATACAAAGAGCCCCCCTCACCATTTTATAACTGTCACTCTCGTTTTCGTTTTTCATCCTCTGTTCTTTCTCTTATTCCTCGTAACCATGGAAACCCAAGTTGAACATATTCTGAAACTCCCACGACTCTATTCAGAGTGATTCGCTCGTCCCAAAGAGTCAAGCCCTTCAGTCCTGTTGCGCACAATCCTGTGGAAAACTTCCCTCACCTGCCGCTCCAATGAGTCCAATCCAGTCCTCAGGGTGTCACACACCGTTGATAGCTCTTGCACTCTCTGTCTCAGCTCCGCTTCTTTATCCTCTGCCAATGGGAACTGAACTGCATCCGCCAAATCATTCATGAGACGCGTGCACTTTTCGATCTGATGAATCTCCTTCAACAGCCCACAGGAATTTCTTCGATCTCGCTTCTTGGACTCCTCCACAATTCGATCGTGCAGTTGAAGGATTGGAGCCGCCCATGGGAAATGCCGGGGCAAAGAAAAATGGACCTGCAAACCCCTGTCCTGGCAAGGAATAGCCGCCACCAGCGCCCACATTACAAACAATAACACCATGTTCATGGTAAAAATAGGGACTGCGAGGCCATTTGTAGCCAAAAGCTCAGTCGCTTTAGGGGCCGCCAAACTATTTCCAATCGATTGCAGCTGCCTCGCAGCCGACCAAGATCGTGAAACGCTCCACGACAGCGATCGGAAGTGGCCCAAAGACCGTTGCTCTTTCGATGTATTGTTGCGTCCGAAAGAACGGTTCCGGTGGGCAAGGGCAGAGGTATGCGAATCTTTCTCATCAAGCATACAAATAGCCAAATCGATGAGGGCCTTCTTGGCGCGACGGAATTGACCCTCCCCGAGAGTCCTCTGGTGGTTGCAGTTGTCCAACGCACTGAGAACAATTTCCAAGAGCTTCTGCCATTGCCTGAGCTGCTCGATCCCATCACGAATCGCATTACACACATCGAGCGCCTTGACGCTGCGCTCCGAATAATCAGCGACCATACGATCCAATGGGGGTCTAGAGATTTGAGATTTGTGGCTAACGAGAACGATTTTAAACTCCTCCTGGCAGCTTAGGAATGAATTCAGAAGCTTATGAATCCAAGATAGGGAAAGCAAATCATCAGAACCAACCGACGCAAGGTCCAGGAACCGGTCGGCAACTTGCCTCTGGAATCCATCGAGATCCTGCTCGTGGGACGTCGGAGATCCATCCATCGCGAAAAGCTGATCCCGCCGGATACTCTGAGCCGGACGTCCAATGTTGGTAAAGGCCGCCGACGAACCCTGATAATCTGTAGCGGGCATCCTCGCGCAGAGAAACTCCTTTCACATATCACGCACCAGAAACCCTAATCGCCAAATTCCCCAATCCGATTAACGAAATAAACAGCTCGATTGATCACCCCCTCTGGCCCTCTCCCACCAAACGAAAACACAGCTCCGAATGGCCTTCCCCCAAATTCAATTCAGTTCGACGCCACCCACACCGACTCGGCTAAATCAACTCCAGAATTTCGAAAGCAAGATCTCAAATTCAACCGTTCAAATCGAAGAACAGAGAAACCGAGATCAAAAGAGAGAGAAACAGAGGAAATTGACGACGAAAAGGAGAGATTGGAATTGAAAATTTAGAAATGGTGAGAGGAGAGGAGAGGCTGAAGATGGAAAACCTAGAGGACGCCCCTTTTATTGGGAGAATTTGCGGACCGCGTCTCTGTCTTCGGGCAGTTGAAATGAAAATTCTAACAAAAAAAACAATAATGATAATTTACAAAAAAAATTACAGTTTTAAAACATTTATTTTTTCCAAATATTATAATAAGAATTAAAAAAAAAATTGAACTACCATCGCTTTAACATCTTAAATATGAATGAGACATCCATCAACCTTATATAAAATAAATTTAAATTCTTAAACGACTGATTCAATTTCTTTTTCCAAAGGATTTCAAAATATTTCCAACTATATATCTAATCACATAAGTTGTTGAAATACATTTATTATATTTAGAAAATAAATCAATATATTTTAAAATAATTGACACTATTTAAAGGAATATAATTTTTTGTTATTATTATTATTTTTTTAGATAGAGATATATTTTATTATTGTTTCTTAAAAAAATATTTTATTAGTATTATTATTATTTTACTTTTTAAATATAACATGTAGAGATGGATATAACTTGCAACTTTTGGTAGATCTACGGCTTAATGAGTTGAGTTATGTTCAGGTTGATGATATAATTTTTTTTTTACAATGGTAGAGATACTTGACCTTGGAAGTTGTATTTAATTTGATATTTTATTAAGATATGAAAATTTTCATCTATGGCAACTTTTATATTTCTCATTATGATCCAAAAAATTATGACACATACTATATTCATATATTTAATATTAGGTTAAAAAGTTCAGTTATTATTATTGACATTTCTCTCTGCCTCACAACCACATGTTTTACTAAAAAAACACTAACACATATCATACCATGAACAATTTCAATTAAATACATTTTAAAATATCAATATCAAAGACCAAATTAAGTTTACATATGAATATTTAGATTATAAAATACCAGTGTGAATATTTAGATTATAAAGACGAGTGTGGAATAAGATTTTATTTATTTACTAAAAATCGAAAGGAGAGAATGTTATTTATTTGATGTTATTTACTATATATATTTTAAAGAATCAGAACCATTTTTACTAAAACTACGTGGAATCAAAATCAAACCTATCACAATTACTAATACCTTTTATTATTTCTAGCTAATTAGGGTACTGATATTATTTTTAATTAAACAATAATATATTTTATTTAATTACTATTTGAGGCGGGTCAACTAATTGATTTCGTTCTACATTGTAATATATACCATTAAGAATAGAATAGAATTTTTTGTCTACCACAAAAAGAAAATTTATTAAATAAGTTTGTAACTTTCTTAAAGAACAAAAATTTTATCTTAAAAATAGCATTCAATTTGGTTTTATACAGTTTATTGATGCTGACTCGCCCAAATCTCTTGGATCTTGATGTACCAATTAAAATTTTCCCAAAAAAAAAAAAGTAATTTATATGAAATTAATTAAAATATGATTTATTTGAATGGGTGTATTCACAAAATTTTAGATAAATAAGACGTATGACTGAGTCTGACCAGGTGAGGAGAATGTCTTTATTACAATTATTATTATGATAAATAAAAATAAAAAATTATCCATAGATACTTGAATGTTGTCACTTTGCTTGAAATTTCATTTATTAGCACATGTCTTATTAATGCGTTATTTATTTAAATATGGGGCTATGATCATGGAAGGTGGTGCGGTTATTTATTTATTTATTTATTTTTATCAGTAGTGTACCACATATTTTGGTTATGGAATACTTGTTTTATAATTGGAAGCCCTATTAAATTAGATATTATCATTTATCATTTATATAAGTATAAATAAATAATAAAAAATAATTTTTACCTTGAGTCAATTTGTACCTTCAATCCAAATCGACCGTCTGGATTGGGTTCAAATAAATGAAAATTCTATGAGTTGAATTTGTTCGAAGATTCACGTGAAATAAGTTTGGGTGAAAATTTAAAACTATTTTATTAGTTACCATAAAAGTTATATATTTATTTTAATTTTATTTCATTAAATAATTCTTTGTGAATTATTTATTATACAAAGGACTTTTAAAAACAACTTTTTAAAGTTTTTCTAGGTACCTTTTCACCATATATATAAAAATCTAACTTGTGAATCTTAATTAAAATGTTAGACAATACTTTGAATAAGTTACCCCAGAGGATTAACCATACTTTTTGAACGGAGACAGATGCTTCAACCAGCTGAACTATGTTCAGATTAACAATACTTTATTTGTATTGATTTAAGAAAACACGCATAATTTCATTTACGTGTGTGGTGAGAGGTAGTAGCATAAAAAGGGTTAAAAAGTTCGCATTCAAACATGTCTCCGTTCAATTTTAGTTCCAAAAAAGAATCAAAATAATGTCAAGTAATGATTTTCGTCTTTCTAAAAAGGTAATAATAACAAACGCCTTTTATATTTTTTTTTCTTTAAACTATTGGGAACTGAAAATTTGAAGAATATGTGTAATATTAAAGACATACAAGAACAGACAAAACTAAACATATAGGTTTTTTTTTTTTATCAATTTATTTTGAAATTTGGTAACCAATATGAAAAAGTTTGAACCAAGCTTGGGCATCAAGGAAAATTTTCAATTCAAATCTGCAGCTATTTGAATTGATAGGGTTTTTGTTCCTCTGAAAAAGTAAATTCAATGTGGCAAAAAGGAAGTCTGAACACTCCAAAACTTTCAAATATTTTGATAGGACAAAAGAAAAAAGAGAGAATAAATAACCATATGGCCACCCTTCATATATCATATAGTATGAATCAACATTATTTTAATTAGTTTTGATAGAAAGAAACAATTAATTTAATTGGAGTGAAAAGGAAAGATGTGGGTCCTTTGATATTTTATTGGTAGGGGGCATTTTGTGGTCCTAAAAATTGTGATGGTTATCAGATCAAAATATATATATATAATACTAAATTACAAAAAAAAAGACCCAAAAAAATTTATATCCTTTTGAAAGTTTCACTATCATCCACCTTTCATAAATACTTTTAAAATACTCTTGGATAAACATCAATTAATATTTTGAATGAAAAATTAACGTGACATAATATATAACAATTTTCTCTCTTTTAAATGTCACGTTAGTTACCACATCATTCTAAATTCTACTATGTTAACTTTCCCTTTAAAATATTAACAGATTTGTGCTCAAAAGGTATTTTTGAAATGTTTATAAAAGATCGAAAACAATAGATTGAGGTATTTTTAGAATGTAGGAAGTTTAAAAGTATTTTTTTATAAGTTAGCCAAAAAAAAAAGAGAGAAAAAAGAGAGAGAGAGAGGAAAAAAAAAGGGGGGAAGGGTATGGGGCCCAAAGAGAAGGGTTGATGCGAAAAAGTTAGAAATTTGAGGGCTCTAAATGCAAAGTGTTTGGATTAGAGATTTGTCATTGGCCTAACAACAAGCAAGAAATGGTCTCTCAGTCAAAATACAAAAGCAACTTGCATCATTCTTTCTTATACCTTCCCACCTCACTTTGACATGAAGTTTTTTATTTTTCTTTTTCTTTTTCTTTTTCTTGTTTTTCCCTTACATTAAAGTTTAAACCCAAAATTAGCCCATTTAAGAAGGTATTTAAAACTAGGTATTTATTGAGTTTTTATTTAATGAAGACTTGTTTCATAACTTCTTTATATTTTCAAGATATAAATGCATTTACTAATGATTTTTATTTCCCTTCTCCCTTTTTTTTTTTATAAATTGTGTAGAGTTCTTTTAATAAATGTAAAATGAATTAAGTCAGTTCTATTACAAATTTGGTTTTATTCTCTATCTTAAAATTTTGAACTTATTTGTTAACAATTTCTAAACAAACAAAAAAAATTGCTGGTATCCTTTTCGGGCCAAAAATGTCAATTTTAAGATGAAAGACAGAACAAACACCAATTATAAAACAATCTAAATCTTTTAAAATTAAAAAAAAAACTAAATCATTGTAAAATATTTGTTTCTTGTTTCTATTTCACTTTTCCAAATTATTAATAAAATTGCTAATCTTCATCATTCTTAGCTAAAAAATTGAACATCAAATATCACAAATTAAAGACGAGATAAAAAATCATCCAACTTAAAATTTTACAAAAAAAATCACAAAAAACACATTTACTTAACAGGTCAAGACATATATCTTCGACTAAAATGTCAAAAAATTGAACAATCACTCAAGAGAACAAGAAACAAAAATCGATATCCAACTGACCCTAAATATTAACTACCATAATTACTTAAATTATTGAGCTATTGCCCTTAATAACAATTATTCCTTGTCAGCTGAGAAAGTAACTTGGATTCTAAGATTTATTATTCCTGAAAAAAGGATGGTTCAAAGAGTTGACCACTTCGTTAGGTTTCACTTTGAAAATAAAGAAAGAGAAGAAAAATTCAGGCACTTTTTGGGATCAATCACTGTTAGCATAGATTTAGTGATTTTTTTAGTTAGGGTTTTGAAACTTTGAACCAAAATTGAACTATCCCTGATTCCCTACACGTGTGAAATGTAATACAAAATCCTGGCCCTTCTAGAATCTAGACTTTCAAATGAATTCTGAAATCAACCACCTATTAAAAATGTAACTACTTTCTTTCTTTTTCTTCTTTTCCCTTCAGACGGAAGAAACATAAAACAAAGGTTTAAATTCTATTTCTTTTTGATACTTATTTATTTTTCAATCCCCAAACATTGCATAAAAGAAAACCTAATTCAGTTCTTAAAATTGATTTTTCATTGATTTAAATACGATTTTAGTCCGTAAACTTTCAAAATGTCCAATTTAGTCGTATACTTTCAACTTTGATTCATTTAGTCTTGATTTAGATACAATTTTGATCTATATACTTTCACAATGTTCATTTTGGTCATATAATTTCAACTTATGTTCATTTCAAGTTTCGAAACGGTCTATTTTAGTCCCCATACTTTTAAAAGGTAACCATTTTGGTCCCTATTTGTAAAATATAAAAAAAAAATTCTTACATTCGTTGGCTACATTTCAAGAAAGAAAGTGAATGAAATGTCAAAGATAAAATTGTGATCCAAACAAATGAA